AATCTCCCGCTGTCTTCATTCTTGTCTTCTTCTCAGCCCGCTTAGCCTCTTCTCCTCAGCCCGCTTAGCCTCTTCTCCTCAGCACACCGGCACCGTCGCGTCACCTAGCAACCCCGCCCACCCCCGCTCAAAGCCTATTGGCCACCGGCGCCGGGCCGCTTCCACGCTGCAAACGACGATTGGCGGGAGAAAAATGCCAGTAACACGTCCCGCACCGCCATTGGCTGAAAGTCCGGCCACGTCTCGCGCGGATGGGGGATAGTTGTCGCTTCGTGATTGGCTGAAGCGCAGACTGCGGGAAATACGGAAGCCGCGCGCCATATTGGATGAGGGCAACTGCTGGCAAAGTCGTTAGAATACCAGCAATGGATGCGTGAAATAGAACAGTGAAATACAAATTGTATGAAGTGTTTAGTAATTGAACTGGCAGTTTACACTCATTATGTATTCATCCTCACAATAAGTAAGATTTCAACGTGGGCGTGGCTTGTCTTATAAAATGACAGTCGGTGGCTGTATAAATAGGCGGGGCCGGGGGCAGGATGGTCACGTGTGGCACTGTAAAGTGGTGATGGTTGGGAAGCGTTGACGTCACTAGCAGGTTCAAGGTCAATCTGCTAATCCTCAGGGGACCCTCAGCATCCTGTGGAGGAACACTGGTGGAGCATGGCTGCCATGGATGATGTTGGGAGCTGTAGTCCTTTGGCAGTTGGAGGGTAATGGGTCGCTGGGCCCAATGCAGATAATATTTATCATTGTTGGGGATGGCGGAGTTCTCTGCGTCACCATTATCTATATTGTGTCATTCCAGCAGATACAACGGCGGACGTTTTAAGAGTGCGGGGGCATAGCATAGACACCTAAATGAGTTCTGTGCATTTCCAGATGAGCCTGGAGCAGGTATAATACAAGCCCGTCTGAACCGACGCCCCACCGAACATGGAAGTGCTACTCGCCCAATCACCTGCGGGCCGGGGCATCTCCCCACCCTGAACCTGCAGGTAAAAAAAAAAGGATGGGCTATTTGTGCTGATGTCATTGGCTAAATATAGTCATGTGGCCATATAAGGTCAATGATGTCACTATATCCTGCTCCTCCGCTTGCTGGGGGCGGGGAACTTCCTGTCTGCAGCTGATTGGACAGCAGTGGAAGGAGCTTTCTTCCGGATTCAGAGGAGCTCATCCCAAATCCTCATTGTTATATATCGCAATCCTGAACATTCCCAGTAACGTCGCTGGTACCGTTCCCGGTAACGTCGCTGGTACCGTTCCCGGTAACGTCGCTGGTACCGTTCCCAGTAACATCGCTGGTACCGTTCCCAGTAACCCAGTAACATCGCTGGTACCGTTCCCGGTAACATCGCTGGTACCGTTCCCGGTAACATCGCTGGTACCGTTCCCGGTAACATCGCTGGTACCGTTCCCGGTAACATCGCTGGTACCGTTGTGACGAGATTGGGATGTGTATGTCACAGATACTTCTAGAACAGAATGGGGGAAACATCAAATCCGGAGCAGTTGCCCACGGCAAGGCTTTAAAACTAGAAGCTGATTGGCTGCCGGATTCTGTCTCCTCCCCTCAGTGAATATCTATGGCCTTCCCTGAGGACCAGCTCAGAGCGGATGATTCAGATGAGGGACCAGTCCTCCCATCACATCGGAGCCCTCAGTCCTCCCATCACATCGGAGTCCTCCGTCATCACATCACATCAGAGTCCTCGGCCACAATGAAGCGGGGGGGGGGACTGGGCACCCCTGGAACGTGTTGGATGAATCCTGTGACCTGTTGCTGAGGTACATAAACTTTACCTGGACTCCATACAAACATGTGGCCCTCTCATCCACTCTAGGGAGGGGCTCCATGTTCGCCCGCCGAGCACCCCGCACAGGGCACTGCGCCTTGTGAGCCCTGATTGGCTAAAGCCTTGCGCGCTCCACAGGTCAGGTGCAAGACATTTCCCAATCAGGGCACACCCTGTTACAACTGTAAACAAATAAAACATTTGTTAAAAACATGTCCTTTGGTTTTTTTTTAAATTAAAGGATTTTTTCAAAACTTTTATTTAACCGTTTAGTGAATGGGTAGAAATACAAGTTCCACTTACTCATTCACAAGGGGGGGTGCATCTGGGTCCCCCTTTATTAAAGGGGTACTCTGATGTGAATAAGCCCAGCACAGATATTTTTTTCTGTGCTGGGATCAAGGGTCTGGTTGGGAATTTTAGGGGTAACCCCATGTTCCTCCCCTCCCCCATTTTTGGGCAGTACCTGGATCCCCATACATGTCCTCCAAGGCAGTACCCAGACCCCCATACATGTCTCCCAGGGCAGTTGGGGGGGTGGGGGTAGAAAGAAAGTGATATTGAAGTCAAAGGGATTTTTAGCTTCTCCACATGCCGATGAATCACATACAATGGGCGCTGCTCCTTGATGTTTAAAAGTTTCAGTTTTCTGCTGCAGAATTAGCTGGTCCCCTGAGCTCTGGTCCTGATATCCTGGCTTAGAGGGGGTGGGGGGGCTTTCTATTGCAGGGTCCTATGGAGCCACCCTTGTGTGTGCTACACGGCAAATCAAACCACTCCTCCCCTCCCTTCTCCAATCTAGTAGATGAACAGTTGATGGAGTCGGCTCTGTCCCTTGTGATCTTGTACTGGAGAGGACGTTCAGGGAAGCGGAGCTGAGAGAGTTGGAGCTGTTTGGAAACATGATGATTGTTAGGCCCCATTCACACTGAGCGATTTATGCAGCAATATCGCTCTATGTAGCTTCTCCAATCCATTTCAATGGAGCTGTTCACATCTCGTCGCTCAATATCGCTTGTCGCTCCTGCATAACCCTTTTTTCGAGCGATTTCGAGCGATTTTGCTCCTGATTGCATACAGCCCAATAGGAAAAAGTCGCTCAATATTGCAAGTCGCTCAGTGTGAATGGGGCTAAAGTGTTTTAGAAGAGTAACATTTTGTGGGGAGATGTATGTTTGATCTGATTCATTATTGGAAAACGTTTGAGAGCTTAATACGTTTAGTTGGTTGCTATAGGAACGCAGACTGCACTAGGTTGTTAAGCGGGTTTCTGACATGTGACCCCTCCCTCTGACGTCATTCCACTTGTCACGTCTCTCTTCCGCGTTGCTGGAACCGTCTCCATAGTAGTGGGCGCTCTTTGCTCTCATTGGCCACCCTTATCCATTAGTGGGAGGTGTGTCACTCCCTGATTGGCGGATTTGTCTTTTACAGGTTGTTCCACGGTAGGACTGAAGGCCGCCGACCAATCCCTGCGGAGGTGGAAGGAGCAGAGAGGCGATAAGGGTGAGAGTGGGAAAGCGCGGCCTGATCGTACAGGGGGCCTCCCCCGCCACCCCCAGACCGGTGTTAAGTCACCCGAGCCCTTGGTTAAGCCCGAGGGGGAGGAGAACGGGGCGAACCCGGAACAGGAAGTGTGCAGAAAGCCCCGCCCCTTCTCAGTGGTCGCTTTTGATTTGAATGGTGCAGAGCTGGAAGCTGTGACAGAGGAGTAGGTAAGATTTCCGGGGGGACTCTATTGGGGGTGGCGGCAGTAGTGTATGAATTGGGAGAAGGAGGGGAGCATGGTGGGAGTTGTGGTACCCCAGAGATACTACAACTTCTGCTGCTGATGTGAGTACAGCTGGTGAACTACAACTCCCAGAATCTCCATTAAAAATCTGGAGTGCGGTCCGGTCCCATCCTGTACGGAGCTTTCCGGGAGGACTACAAGGACCAGCCAGTGAGTTTCATTGTATGAAGGAGGTGAAGGCATTGCTGGGGGATGTAGTTCCCACGTAGCTTTCCTCAGTAACACCTGGCAACCCATCAAAGGGCGGGGAGGATGTGCGGTATCCCATAGCAACAAAGCTGATGTGCGGTATCCCATAGCGACTGCATGGTGATCCTGTGGCAGTCATCCCCCGTACAGTGAGAGTCACGGCGGCTCCCGGTGATCTCTGCGGTGGATTGCTCGGCAGGAAATGTCTCTTCCTTTCCTCTGAGCGGTAGAACCGGTTTGCCCGGTCAGGTGACACGCTGAGTGACTCCCGCCGTACACGTCCCCATGTGTGTACATTTCATTCTTGTGTCCCCGGGCGGAGACGCACTTCCTGCTCGGGGTCACTGTCATGTAATTCCTCTGCCTGCCCCCCGGCCCTTTGTCTGTTGGGGATATTAGAGTCTGAGTAGTAGTGGAGGAGGCGTCCCCTGCCAGCATGCTGCAGAGAATGACCCTCTGTGGGGAAGCAGTGGTCTCTCTGCAGAGGTCTGACAACGCCCCCCCCTGCTGAGTCAGAACCAGATCTCTCCAATCAGCAGGAAGTGTGAGCTGTGCGGGGGAGGATGTTCCCGATCCACATAAATAATACGGCCAAATCATGGCGGATTTACCCCAATTTGGTGTTTTCTAACGTTGTCACAATGCTCCGCCCACAATGACGTGTACGATGGGACTGGTAGTCCTGACCCCCTGCACAGCGATGCTCATTGTACATATTTGGGTCGGATTTCCTGCTTTGCTCTGATCTCTCTCTCTCTCTGTCACAGGGAACATGAAGGCCTTAATCCTGGTTGGCGGCTTTGGGACTCGGCTCCGCCCCCTGACTCTGAGCGTCCCCAAACCTCTGGTGGATTTCTGTAATAAGCCCATCCTCCTGCATCAGGTGGAGGCTCTGGTGAAGGTGAGGACACAACCAATCAGAGCCGGCCTCGTATACGTTGTACGGGTTGCTATGGGGCCGGCCTCGTATACTGCGTACGGGTTGCTATGGGGCCGGCCTCGTATACGGCGTACGGGTTGCTATGGGGCCGGCCTCGTATGCGGCGTACGGTGATCTATGAGGCCGGCCTCGTATACGGCGTACGGGTTGCTATGGGGCCGGCCTCGTATACTGCGTACGGGTTGCTATGGGGCCGGCCTCGTATACGGCGTACGGGTTGCTATGGGGCCGGCCTCGTATAAGGCGTACGGGTTGCTATGGGGCCGGCCTCGTATGCGGCGTACGGGTTGCTATGGGGCCGGCCTCGTATGCGGCGTACGGGTTGCTATGGGGCCGGCCTCGTATGCGGCGTACGGGTTGCTATGGGGCCGGCCTCGTATGCGGCGTACGGGTTGCTATGGGGCCGGCCTCGTATGCGGCGTACGGGTTGCTATGGGGCCGGCCTCGTATGCGGCGTACGGGTTGCTATGGGGCCGGCCTCGTATGCGGCGTACGGGTTGCTATGGGGCCGGCCTCGTATGCGGCGTACGGGTTGCTATGGGGCCGGCCTCGTATGCGGCGTACGGGTTGCTATGGGGCCGGCCTCGTATGCGGCGTACGGGTTGCTATGGGGCCGGCCTCGTATGCGGCGTACGGGTTGCTATGGGGCCGGCCTCGTATGCGGCGTACGGGTTGCTATGGGGCCGGCCTCGTATGCGGCGTACGGGTTGCTATGGGGCCGGCCTCGTATGCGGCGTACGGGTTGCTATGGGGCCGGCCTCGTATGCGGCGTACGGGTTGCTATGGGGCCGGCCTCGTATGCGGCGTACGGGTTGCTATGGGGCCGGCCTCGTATGCGGCGTACGGGTTGCTATGGGGCCGGCCTCGTATGCGGCGTACGGGTTGCTATGGGGCCGGCCTCGTATGCGGCGTACGGGTTGCTATGGGGCCGGCCTCGTATGCGGCGTACGGGTTGCTATGGGGCCGGCCTCGTATGCGGCGTACGGGTTGCTATGGGGCCGGCCTCGTATGCGGCGTACGGGTTGCTATGGGGCCGGCCTCGTATGCGGCGTACGGGTTGCTATGGGGCCGGCCTCGTATGCGGCGTACGGGTTGCTATGGGGCCGGCCTCGTATGCGGCGTACGGGTTGCTATGGGGCCGGCCTCGTATGCGGCGTACGGGTTGCTATGGGGCCGGCCTCGTATGCGGCGTACGGGTTGCTATGGGGCCGGCCTCGTATGCGGCGTACGGGTTGCTATGGGGCCGGCCTCGTATGCGGCGTACGGGTTGCTATGGGGCCGGCCTCGTATGCGGCGTACGGGTTGCTATGGGGCCGGCCTCGTATGCGGCGTACGGGTTGCTATGGGGCCGGCCTCGTATGCGGCGTACGGGTTGCTATGGGGCCGGCCTCGTATGCGGCGTACGGGTTGCTATGGGGCCGGCCTCGTATGCGGCGTACGGGTTGCTATGGGGCCGGCCTCGTATGCGGCGTACGGGTTGCTATGGGGCCGGCCTCGTATGCGGCGTACGGGTTGCTATGGGGCCGGCCTCGTATGCGGCGTACGGGTTGCTATGGGGCCGGCCTCGTATGCGGCGTACGGGTTGCTATGGGGCCGGCCTCGTATGCGGCGTACGGGTTGCTATGGGGCCGGCCTCGTATGCGGCGTACGGGTTGCTATGGGGCCGGCCTCGTATGCGGCGTACGGGTTGCTATGGGGCCGGCCTCGTATGCGGCGTACGGGTTGCTATGGGGCCGGCCTCGTATGCGGCGTACGGGTTGCTATGGGGCCGGCCTCGTATGCGGCGTACGGGTTGCTATGGGGCCGGCCTCGTATGCGGCGTACGGGTTGCTATGGGGCCGGCCTCGTATGCGGCGTACGGGTTGCTATGGGGCCGGCCTCGTATGCGGCGTACGGGTTGCTATGGGGCCGGCCTCGTATGCGGCGTACGGGTTGCTATGGGGCCGGCCTCGTATGCGGCGTACGGGTTGCTATGGGGCCGGCCTCGTATGCGGCGTACGGGTTGCTATGGGGCCGGCCTCGTATGCGGCGTACGGGTTGCTATGGGGCCGGCCTCGTATGCGGCGTACGGGTTGCTATGGGGCCGGCCTCGTATGCGGCGTACGGGTTGCTATGGGGCCGGCCTCGTATGCGGCGTACGGGTTGCTATGGGGCCGGCCTCGTATGCGGCGTACGGGTTGCTATGGGGCCGGCCTCGTATGCGGCGTACGGGTTGCTATGGGGCCGGCCTCGTATGCGGCGTACGGGTTGCTATGGGGCCGGCCTCGTATGCGGCGTACGGGTTGCTATGGGGCCGGCCTCGTATGCGGCGTACGGGTTGCTATGGGGCCGGCCTCGTATGCGGCGTACGGGTTGCTATGGGGCCGGCCTCGTATGCGGCGTACGGGTTGCTATGGGGCCGGCCTCGTATGCGGCGTACGGGTTGCTATGGGGCCGGCCTCGTATGCGGCGTACGGGTTGCTATGGGGCCGGCCTCGTATGCGGCGTACGGGTTGCTATGGGGCCGGCCTCGTATGCGGCGTACGGGTTGCTATGGGGCCGGCCTCGTATGCGGCGTACGGGTTGCTATGGGGCCGGCCTCGTATGCGGCGTACGGGTTGCTATGGGGCCGGCCTCGTATGCGGCGTACGGGTTGCTATGGGGCCGGCCTCGTATGCGGCGTACGGGTTGCTATGGGGCCGGCCTCGTATGCGGCGTACGGGTTGCTATGGGGCCGGCCTCGTATGCGGCGTACGGGTTGCTATGGGGCCGGCCTCGTATGCGGCGTACGGGTTGCTATGGGGCCGGCCTCGTATGCGGCGTACGGGTTGCTATGGGGCCGGCCTCGTATGCGGCGTACGGGTTGCTATGGGGCCGGCCTCGTATGCGGCGTACGGGTTGCTATGGGGCCGGCCTCGTATGCGGCGTACGGGTTGCTATGGGGCCGGCCTCGTATGCGGCGTACGGGTTGCTATGGGGCCGGCCTCGTATGCGGCGTACGGGTTGCTATGGGGCCGGCCTCGTATGCGGCGTACGGGTTGCTATGGGGCCGGCCTCGTATGCGGCGTACGGGTTGCTATGGGGCCGGCCTCGTATGCGGCGTACGGGTTGCTATGGGGCCGGCCTCGTATGCGGCGTACGGGTTGCTATGGGGCCGGCCTCGTATGCGGCGTACGGGTTGCTATGGGGCCGGCCTCGTATGCGGCGTACGGGTTGCTATGGGGCCGGCCTCGTATGCGGCGTACGGGTTGCTATGGGGCCGGCCTCGTATGCGGCGTACGGGTTGCTATGGGGCCGGCCTCGTATGCGGCGTACGGGTTGCTATGGGGCCGGCCTCGTATGCGGCGTACGGGTTGCTATGGGGCCGGCCTCGTATGCGGCGTACGGGTTGCTATGGGGCCGGCCTCGTATGCGGCGTACGGGTTGCTATGGGGCCGGCCTCGTATGCGGCGTACGGGTTGCTATGGGGCCGGCCTCGTATGCGGCGTACGGGTTGCTATGGGGCCGGCCTCGTATGCGGCGTACGGGTTGCTATGGGGCCGGCCTCGTATGCGGCGTACGGGTTGCTATGGGGCCGGCCTCGTATGCGGCGTACGGGTTGCTATGGGGCCGGCCTCGTATGCGGCGTACGGGTTGCTATGGGGCCGGCCTCGTATGCGGCGTACGGGTTGCTATGGGGCCGGCCTCGTATGCGGCGTACGGGTTGCTATGGGGCCGGCCTCGTATGCGGCGTACGGGTTGCTATGGGGCCGGCCTCGTATGCGGCGTACGGGTTGCTATGGGGCCGGCCTCGTATGCGGCGTACGGGTTGCTATGGGGCCGGCCTCGTATGCGGCGTACGGGTTGCTATGGGGCCGGCCTCGTATGCGGCGTACGGGTTGCTATGGGGCCGGCCTCGTATGCGGCGTACGGGTTGCTATGGGGCCGGCCTCGTATGCGGCGTACGGGTTGCTATGGGGCCGGCCTCGTATGCGGCGTACGGGTTGCTATGGGGCCGGCCTCGTATGCGGCGTACGGGTTGCTATGGGGCCGGCCTCGTATGCGGCGTACGGGTTGCTATGGGGCCGGCCTCGTATGCGGCGTACGGGTTGCTATGGGGCCGGCCTCGTATGCGGCGTACGGGTTGCTATGGGGCCGGCCTCGTATGCGGCGTACGGGTTGCTATGGGGCCGGCCTCGTATGCGGCGTACGGGTTGCTATGGGGCCGGCCTCGTATGCGGCGTACGGGTTGCTATGGGGCCGGCCTCGTATGCGGCGTACGGGTTGCTATGGGGCCGGCCTCGTATGCGGCGTACGGGTTGCTATGGGGCCGGCCTCGTATGCGGCGTACGGGTTGCTATGGGGCCGGCCTCGTATGCGGCGTACGGGTTGCTATGGGGCCGGCCTCGTATGCGGCGTACGGGTTGCTATGGGGCCGGCCTCGTATGCGGCGTACGGGTTGCTATGGGGCCGGCCTCGTATGCGGCGTACGGGTTGCTATGGGGCCGGCCTCGTATGCGGCGTACGGGTTGCTATGGGGCCGGCCTCGTATGCGGCGTACGGGTTGCTATGGGGCCGGCCTCGTATGCGGCGTACGGGTTGCTATGGGGCCGGCCTCGTATGCGGCGTACGGGTTGCTATGGGGCCGGCCTCGTATGCGGCGTACGGGTTGCTATGGGGCCGGCCTCGTATGCGGCGTACGGGTTGCTATGGGGCCGGCCTCGTATGCGGCGTACGGGTTGCTATGGGGCCGGCCTCGTATGCGGCGTACGGGTTGCTATGGGGCCGGCCTCGTATGCGTGAGACTTGCTGACAGAGAACTCGGAGCCGTTCTTCGTCCTGAACAGTGACGTCATCTGCGACTTCCCCTTCGAGGAGATGGTCACCTTCCACCACCACCACGGGAAGGAGGGGACCATTGTGGTGAGTCCGACCTCGCAGCTCATGGGTAGGGGGAGGGGCTTACAGCAGAGGATTGTCTGATTGGAGAC